AAAGCAGTGAGTCTTACATGAGAAGAAAGTAAATGTCTACAAGCTGCCGGCCTGCTGCGCTCTCCTTTCGCCTGTGCAGAGTTAGTTTGTTGTCTCTGACTAACAGTACAGTCGGACTCGTGAGTGGAATCACAGACAATACACACGGATCACAGGAAACACAGGAAAGGAGGAGGAAGATGGGGAGGAGAGAGAAAGAGAGTGCATTTATGGAGACATTCTGGTTGTAATGTCAGCTCCTCCTCTGGGAAGCTTTAGCCTGACCTTTATGTTTGAGCACAGTATCTCTCTCCCTATTTTCTTCCTCCTTATTGTCTCCCTTTCTTCCCTCCGCTCCTTTCTTCTCTTTTTACTCATTATCCAGTCAGCTTCCCCTCTGCTCTCCATGAATCTTACACACTGACTTTTGCTGCCTCTGCAGTTGTCGTCGTCGGATGCACACATTCACCGAGGCATTTGCAAATACGCCCATTTTTCGCACATTCTCGGCATGTGCACCATTACTCCTGCAGAGTGTGGTGTGAAAAAAAAAAGTCATCAGGCGCCATTAATGCTTTACTCAGCCCTTCACTAAGGCCCGTGTGTCAGGCTAACCAGGCAGCAGCCTACTTAAATGGATTTGGGAGACAGCAGTGGGAGCTGCACTTGCATAAAGGGTTACAGATTAATAATAGAGCACAATGTGGGCCCAGCGAGGGGGGGGGGGTGTTAGGACTCTATCTGCCAGCCTGTAAGAGCACTTAAGCAGATGAGTGGAAGATGGTAGGTGGGCAGACAGATACTTTGTTCTGCGTCAGATCAGGCAACAAATAAATGACTTGTGCTAAAAACAGACATCTGTGGATTTGATTTCCAGACGGTGGAATTGTTCAGCGTTCTGTGAAAAGAAGGTAGAAGTAGCAACAATAAAAACAAAGTCCTCAAAAGTAACGATGCAGTCATGTTTTACAGATAAACAGACCCATTTCAATCCCCTGAGACGTGATAGTTTTCATTCAAACATGACAAATACCCGCTGCTCCATTATGTCAGACTGGCACCATTAATTTGATTTCTGTTGTTTCCGTTAGTCCTTCATCAGCTTTAATTAAAAATGTTTGAGTAATTCTAAATAAAAGCAGGAAGAATCATTTTGTCTGTTGTTTTTCATTTTTTAGTTTCTCTCTTCTCTAACGTGCTCTGTAATATCACACACAAAAATACATGAAATCGTGCAGCTCAGTTTGGAAGCATGTGCAGTAGCAGTTAGCAGTGGCACACTGTGTGATGTAAATTCAATTTGCAAAGAAAAGTGCAATAAGTTTCCACATGCACAGAAATGGAGTTTGAACAAAACAAGCAAAACAAACATGCTGACAGATTTAAAAAGTGATTGTTTGTAGTTTTGACATGAGTGTTTTTCTGGAGTGGAATTGAAAAAGAAACAGAACTAAACCTAAATTTTTTGGTGCAAGATATTTAAGTGGGTAGGAGTTACACTGTGTCAAAACAAAGGTTATCCACCGCCAAGTGTAATGGTGAAACTGGGGGTGGCCAGTGGTGGCCTTGGTCCCCATAAATTATTCTTCAGCCCCTGCAGTCATTTGAGGAAACTATGCTTTTAAGCAAAATCTAAACTAGAAAACATAATTTCTTCAAATGACAGCAGTGGCTGATATACATATGTACAGGTCCTTCTCAAAAAATTAGCATATTGTGATAAAGGTCATTATTTTCCATAATGTAATGATAAAAATGAAACTTTCATATATTTCAGATTCATCGCACACCAACTGAAATATTTCAGGTCTTTAATTGTTTTAATACTGATGATTATGGCATACAGCTCATGAAAACCCAAAATGCCTGTCCCAGAAAATTAGCATATTTCATCCCACCAATGAAAGACAAGTGTTTTTAATACAAAAAACGCCAACCTTCAAATAATCATGTTCAGTTATGCACTCAATACTTGGTCGGGAATCCTTTTGCATGAATGTCTGCTTCAATGTGGCGTGGCATGGAGGCAATCAGCCTGTGGCACTGCTGAGGTGTTATGGAGGCCCAGGATGCTTCGAAAGCGGCCTTAAGCTCATCCAGAGTGTTGGGTCTTGCGTCTCTCAACTTTCTCTTCACAATATCCCACAGGTTCTCTATGGGGTTCAGGTCAGGAGAGTTGGCAGACCAATTGAGCACAGTAATACCATGGTCAGTAAACCATTTACCAGTGGTTTTGTCACTGTGAGCAGGTGCCAGGTCGTGCTGAAAAATGAAATCTTCATGTCCATAAAGCTTTTCAGCAGATGGAAGCATGAAGTGCTCCAAAATCTCCTGATAGCTAGCTGCATTGACCCTGCCCTTGATAAAACACAGTGGATCAACACCAGCAGCTGACATGACACCCCAGTGACTGTGGAAACTTGACACTGGACCTCAAGCAATGTGAATTCTGTGTCTCCTCTCTTCCTCCAGATTCTGGGACCTTGATTTCCAAAGGAAATGCAAAATTTACTGTAATCAGACTTTGGACCACTCAGCAGCAGTCCCAGGCGAGATGCTTCTGACGCAGTCTCTTGTTCAAGAGTGGCTTGACCTGGGGAATGCGGCACCTGTAGCCCATTTCCTGCACACGCCTGTGCACGGTGGCTCTGGATGTTTCTACTCCAGACTCAGTCCACTGCTTCCGCAGGTCCCCCAAGGTCTGGAATCGGCCCTTCTCCACAATCCTCCTCAGGGTCCGGTCACCTCTTCTTGTTGTGCAGTGTTTTCTGCCACACTTTTCCCTTCCCGCAGACTTCCCACTGAGGTGCCTTGATACAGCACTCTGGGAACAGCCTATTCGTTCAGCAATTTCTTTCTGTGTCTTACCCTCTTGCTTCAGGGTGTCAATGATGGCCTTCTGGACAGCAGTCAGGTCGGCAGTCTTACCCATGATTGCGGTTTTGAGTAATGAACAAGGCTGGGAGTTTTTAAAAGCCTCAGGAATCTTTTGCAGGTGTTTAGAGTTACGTCGTTGATTCAGGTGGTTAGGTTAATAGCTTGTTTAGAGAACCTTTTCATGATATGCTAATTTTTTGGGACAGGCATTTTGGGTTTTCATGAGCTGTATGCCATAATCATCAGTATTAAAACAATTAAAGACCTGAAATATTTCAGTTGGTGTGCAATGAATCTGAAATATATGAAAGTTTCATTTTTATCATTACATTATGGAAAATAATGACCTTTATCACAATATGCTAATTTTTTTAGAAGGACCTGTATGTATGTATACAGTAGTCCCTCGCTACTTCACAGTTTGTTTTTCGTGGACTCACTCTATCGTGGTTTTTCAAAATAAGATTGGACATGACACACAAACTGAAGGATGAGTCGCACGATCGGCATGGAATTTTTATTTAAAATAAATTATTTTAAATTATTTAGCACCTGCTACACATTTGTGCAGCCCACACTGCTCCTCCTCCCTCCTCCTTCCTCCTCTGTTGATCTCCATTCTGCAGCGGAGAAGTGGGCGTGGCCAAGAGCACAGAGTACAGCTGTGGCAGGGAGCTGAAATCATGACATGCTGTGCTTTTTTAGAGCGTTTACAGTTTAGAAACTGTAAGAAAGTTAGAAAGTTTATCAGGTCTCTCTTGTAAAAGAGTCCTCGAGGATCATTGGGATTTACCTGTCTAAATAAATGTTGAATGAAAAGAAACGTTTAGAATATTGTTGCAAGAGTGTGGAGTTAAAAATGCTTATATATATATATATATATATATATATATATACATATATGTTATCAGAAAGCAGTGAAAGCTGCTAAATCCAAATACTTCTCTGATATCATAAGCTCAAACTCTCACAACCCATGTGTCCTCTTCTCCACCCTAAACTCTGTTCTCCACCTCACTGAACCATCACCTCTGGAAGCCTCAACTGAGCTGTGCGACAACTTCCTACATTTCTTTTTGGAAAAAATTGCGACCACCCGGGCTCTCATTTCCCCTCCAACTCATGACCCATCCATCCCACCTCAATCTGTAGCTCCTTTTGACCATTTTGAACCCATCACTCTATCTTCTCTAGAGCACGTCATGTGCTTCAGGAGTCTCAAAGTCTGGTGACTCAACATAGAAGGTGAATTACATGAAGGGGGTCCAGAATCATGCAACATGTCAGGGTGGTCCCAACTCTAGATTTTAACACACACAAAAAAGGTTAACAAAAAACTTCCTGTGTCAGAGCAGGATGCCAGTATATGTCCCAGATTAGCAGGAAAGGAGGGGGTAGAGTAGACGTAGTGTCTCTGAGGACATTTGTCTTAAGGTTCTTGGAAGGATGGACGCTACAGGCTTTATAGAATAAAGTGGATAAATAATGTAAATTTTGGGCTGTAGCTGCTTTAACGCCTCTCAAGATTCCTTCAAAAAAATTCTAGTTGAAATAAAACTCGACAGGGATGAGTTGTACTTCATTCAACACTTTCCCCCATATACATATTTTATGTGTCACTTTCCTTAGAATATTTACATTACATAATGCATTAGTTAAGTTAATAAATGATGTTGCTTGAAATATCAATTATTAAGCAAAGCACAGCATTCAGGTGCAGTCAGCAGAAGCAAACGGATGCACAGCAGCAATTCATGAAGCACGTGTTGAAAATGGGCTGCAACATTTGAATACAGACATGCATAATATCAAAGGAAGCAAAGGCACTGGTGTTTCAGTTTAAATTTGTGTGGAGGGTCCCTGCCATGCATGTTGGCTTCATGCTGACAGAGATGCATCCTGACAAGGCAGAAGCTACATGAGAGAACAAAGAGGGGAGCCTGTCTGACTGCCTTTTGAACCCAACTTGACAAATGCCAAATATTAAAGATGGAGCTCAGAAGATAAAACAGGAAGGGCTAATTCACAGTTCTTTCAAAATGTTTCCAAGGGCTTTTCCTCTCATGTGAGTTCCATGTAGGAGCCTAAAAATAGTAGCTTTATGGCTGGTTGTTGAGCACTGTGCCCTTTTTTTATCTCCGCAGATTGTCGCGGCCCTGGAGCAGGATGAGCAGGCGAGGAAGCAGAGGTTGGCCTACAAGGTGGAGCAGCTCATCGCTGTCATGTCTCTTGAGAGCTGAGGGTGAACCTACCGTCCCTGCAGGACCTTACTTACCTCTCATTGTGGGAACTTCAACCACAAACCAGATATGGGACCTCTGTATCTACAGCCGGAAAAAAACTCTGAACTGCTTTAGTGTGACCTTCTCCCAGCCGCTTCATAACGGGGCCCTCAAAGGGCCCTCAGACGGACCGCTGGATATACTGTATGCCATGCAAAAGGACATCGGCAAAGAAAGCAACCATACAACTTGTTTTGTTTGTTCTTAGGAGTTAACGTTTCTTTTTCTGTCTTTTAAAGGACTTTTTGTAGATTTGACTGGAAATTGCATGCTGTGTGTGTGTTCACATGTGTGCGTGAGTGTGTGTCAGATTGGTGAAGACTCAGAAGGAGAAACATCTGCTAAGTCACAACCGAGTGAGAACTTGAGTGAGAGGAGGGAAAAGGCTGACCTCATGTTGGACGGCTGAGCGTGCATTCTCAGATTTTTATTTTTTTATTCTGTAAATGTGAATATTATGAGTTGCAGTAAAAAAAAAAAAAAAAGAACATCCACGGGGTGTTCCAGAGAACATGATGTAAAAAGTGTGTGTCTGCGTCAGGATGGAGCGTGGCTCAAACTCTCGCTTGTCTCCTCCTCGGACTGACGCGTCACTACATGGACACAACAAAATGCTGCTCTATATTTAATCAGAAGTGTACAGAGAAAACATCGTCTTCTGAAAATTTACTTGAACTCAGCTGGAGTTGAGTTCAGCCAGCATGCTTGCACCTAAAGTCGAGGATGAAGGAGGAGGGGGGGGGGGGACGACAGATGTGCACCCCTCTGTCAGGCGTTCTTCGGCTGTCAGGTCCTTTGTGTATGTACCCTTTGATATCAAGAAGTGTATGTGAATGTACTTTTACGTTTCATGATTTTTTTTATTTTTTGCTTGTATCTTTGTCTATTTGAGTTTTGCAACAAATATTAGCTCAGTTGAACTGAGCTTCATGATATTTGCTGCAGTTTGTGACGTGAAGAACCCTAAATCCATTCAACCTTTTGAGTCAAATACATTTTAGCTGGAGGAGCCAAAAGACCCGATGAAAGAAGTTGGTTCCTCAAACTGCCATTATATTACCCAAATTTGCATCTTTTAGGGAACTGACCAGCTTTTTGTGGGTTGCATGCATGATATAACATATCAGATGTGTAAAAGAGTCCATGTTTTTATTAAGTGCCAATGATTCAGGCCTGCTTTAGATGACCAGATAAGATGTTACCACAGTTGAGGAAAATCTCACCCATGCACCACTTTTGTTTTAGCTCAGATGATTTGGCCTGTGTGGGTCTAGTTTGACTAAGTGCCAAAAGATCAGTGTTTCAAACTGCTCACTAATGTGTCAACATTGGTTTATGCTTTACAGACAGGTTTGTTGAGAATAAAGCCGGGTGAAGCCGCATCCCTGATACCGGAGTAGCAAGTTTAGAGAAAGGCGTAAAGGTACGAAACATGAGAAGGAAAACATTTGACCTTTTTGCAGTTTGATAGCATCTCCAGACTGAAACTAAACAACTCAAACCTTAAGCTTCCAGATGAAAACTGGATGGCAACAAACTAGACCATCCTGTGGATCAGTGATTTCATTTTCTTCCAAGACGTGTTTGCTTATTGTTTACACCAAGTACTTGAAAACAGGTAGTTTGAAAGGATTGTACAGTGAACTGCAGCTGTGTGAGCTGAAAGCGTGGGACAGGTGGGAGAAAGGTGCTTCTTTTTTCTGTGGCCTTAGATTCCCGCCTGCTCAGTGTCCCCGATTTCATCGGCTCTTGCTGGGTTTTTCCAGGGACACCTGGATCTCGCGCTCAGCTGAGGGTTGCGAGATGAACTGAGAGGAAAGGGGAGGACGGGCGCATCACTCTGTTCACGTGAGCCGTTTGAAGAGAAGTGTTGAGAAATGAGGAAGCAATGAAGGGGCAGCATGAGAGAGAGCTCTTTCAGCTCCGGCTTTGAAGCTCTTCTTTGATCTGAGGCGGTTGTGTGCCGAGTGTGATCAGGAGAAAACATCAAACTGAGAGGCAAGGAGAAATGTAGGATGAGGTGAGTGTTGGAGAATCCTACTGCGTCTGGCCAGTAGGGGCAGAAGTGGGGAGGAGGACTACTAATGGAAGCTCAGCACTCTTTGCAAATACAAATGACTTTCTGCCTTCGTATGAAGTGGTATATAAACTTATGAAGTCCTAATAAAACTCTAAACATTCTGGAAATTCCTGCCTAATTAGTTTATCTAAAGACACTTCATATTTTTCTCCTAAAGTCCTAAAATAAATTTTCTCTGAATCTTTTCCAGTTCTTAGTAATAGAGTATAATATGCCACTAAAATGAGAGAAGTTCAACATTTTTGTGTTTGTTCATTTTCTACCATCCTTTGTGAATACAATACACTTCTAAGTCTTTTTCGCTTCTTAATCTCCTAAAAAAAATCTTAACGGTACTCAAGGTGCATAGATAGAGTACGCACACTTAAACTTCTTCCTTTTGAATAAGGCGTCTTCCCAGTTTCAGCGAATAGAATTGTATCCTCATACCTCACATTGCTTATTTGGAGTAATGCTTTGTGTTTTAACAGGACCTTAATGCCTTTTTCCTTCTCCAAGGAATGAATTGTGTCTAACAGAGCCCTTCCAGCTGTTAGATGAGCTCCCCTGTGTACAGGAGTCAGTCAGACACACAAACTGGTTAAAAATGGCTTTGATTTTATTTTGTTTACCTCTCAGAGATCATTTGTTTCAGGATGCATCTCGTCTGAGATCTGTGCATGTTTTCAGTTGTGCTTTAGTCCTGCCTAGTGTTGCATATCCATCCACTCCATGACTCGGTCTGACAGTAGTCCTTCCATCTGTAACCGTCTTAAATTACATCAGAATGCACCTTCTCTGTAATTATTTTATTTTAACTAAATGATTACTTGTACATGTTTTCATGTTGTACGCTCATATTTTGAAACTTTTTAATTTAATTAGAAAAAAACAAAAAGTTGTGCTTTTTTTTTCTTCACGTTCTGCATTTGATTGCTAGGCGTGTTAGATATGGAACGATTCTCACAAACAAAACCTCATTTCAGAGCAAACTGAATTCTAACCCGAGTTGATTTGTGCACCTTTTTGCTTCCGGTGAAATGTTACGCCGACGATCCTGTGCTGTGGTTTTAACTGGCACATGTCATCTATGTAAAACTCACAGCATTTCCTTATCCTTTTGATATGTTTGCTTGCTTCATGGCATCAGACAGTGGAACTGCAGTACTGATCATTATTTTACTCAGTATAAAATGAGTATCCTTCCATTTGAACCACGTTGTAAACAAACCCTTTGTAGACACTGGAGTGCTGTAAAATAGTCATTACTGGCAATGATGATGATAATAATGGTTGTCTGTTCTTGTTTTATAAAGTGTTGTGAAAATTGTAAGAAACAAAGTATTTAAAAGGTTGTTCTCTTGTTTTTTTATTTGCTTTGATTTTGTTATTATAATATATTAATGTGTACCTATTGTAAATATGAAGCACACCTATTTTGCAAGCCAAGGATTCACTTTGTACTGTTGTTATATATAAATAAACTTTGCTGGTTTAAAAATGCATAGAACCAAAATCTGAATTCAAGTCTCCTTTATCTTCCCTATAGTTAGTTTCCTTTTTGTTATGTTTTGATTAATTTCTCTTTCAGTTTAGATTAGAAAAGTAACAACTGGATAAGAATTGAGAATTGGGAAAGAAAAAAAATTCCCATTGTTTATGATATTTAAAACAGACTTGTAGCTGGTGTTTAAACCAGTGTTATCCATGACAGAGGTCCTTCAATGGCCTGTGTGAACCCCAGAGTTTGTAACTTATTTGAGGGACATAAACACTATGTATAATGGGTGGAAACAAACTTATACTGCTGCCTACAACTACTCATGTTCTTGCAAACGTTGAAGATATAGTTTTCAATAAAACCCTACTTCATCTCTATTTATTTATTTACTGCTGACAGTATGAACTTGAGATATTTCTGCATTTATCTTGTCAGTTCATTTAACTTATTAATGAACATTTATTCCTGCATTTAATGAATTCAAACCAAATAAACAATATTACAACAAAAATATTACTTATGTTCTGGTAATAAGCAATGACATGTTTTAGGTGGTATTTTGTCCCATTCTTTCTGTAGACACTTCCTTATTGGTTACAGTTGTATTTTATTACAAATTTGCCCACATATTTTCTATAGAGCACAACTTTGGGCTGCAGCCAATCTAAAATTCATTCAACCTTTATTTAGACAGGTTAATCCCATTGAGCCTCAGGGACTCATTTACAAGAGACAGTCCAGTACCTCATCAGTACCCTCTCCTTCATCAGCCATGCCCTCCTAATATGGGCAGAATGGCATTTTTCATTGTCTTGTTGAAAATAGCATGGCTGTCTCTGGAAAAACATATGTTACACAAAGAAAAGTGAGATAGACATGCATTTATTGTTGTGTATTTGATCTTTGTACAGTTCAAACACATTGATACCAATTTTGTCTGATTCCAATTCACTGTAAATGAAATTAACAAAACAATAACTGGTTGAAAACCACAATGCATTTTTATTATAAACTAATGAGCAGCACGGTGGATCAGTTGGTACAGCTACCGCTTCTCAGCGAGCAGGTTGCCATGGTGCAAATCCCGACCGGGGGCCTTTCTGGGTGGAGTTTGCATGTTCTCATTAAAAACGTTGTTCAGTCCAAAAAAACTGTAAGAAACTGCATAAAAAGCAATAAAGAAAGATTTGTTCTTTAAAAGCAAAAAGCAAGAATGCTGAACAGGCCAAGATGGTAAAAGTCTAGCATCAGCAGGTAATCTGTCAAAATGTAGATGTTTGATGAAGCGCTGACAGAACATCGAGCAACATTCAGAAAATCTACAGAACCAAAGTCGAGTAACTTTTGCTCACTCTTCTACATCAACCTTCCTGCTGCTCTGGGATCATTTCTACCCAAGGGCAGCAGGAGGGTTAGGGTGCTGTCCCATCTCTGCTGACCACACTCAGTTCTTTGCAACAACAGCTCTCAGTCCAACCTGGTACCTGTGGACATCTGTCACTGTGCTGTGAAGTTTTAATTAGTTTGTCAACTTTAGCTAAAAAA